TACAGTAGGAGGAAAAGGCGCCCAGAGAGCTGTCGAAAATGACAACTTCACTTTTATTTTCATTCAGCTTTAGAAATTTAACGACATCCACTGTTTGATGTCGTCAAGGCAGCGTAATAAGAGCTGCGGATGGTCTGACCCTGCTTTTAAAGGGAGATAAATCTGCAGATCATCAGCAAAACAGTGAAATGAAATGCTGTACCGCGAGAAGATGGAGCCAATGGCAACAAATAGAGTGCGAACAGGGCAGGACCCAAAATAGAGCCTTGAGGTGCACCGTATTTAAGATGGGCTATTTTGGATTTATGGGGGCCCGTATTGACATAAAAAGACCTTCCTGACAAGTGGGACTGAAACCACTGTAGGGCAGAGCGAGCCCTTTAAATCTCTTAAAGCATGATGGGACGCAGCCTGTAGCAAAGCACGTATAAATTAATCTCAGGATAAAAGGCCCGGCAGTATTAAAAGTGCTTTTAAGCAAGCTTGGGGGGAGACAATCAGAGGGGCAGTGTGATGATCTTAGGTTACTAACTACTAGTCAAGTCATTAAGGGAGACGGGATCAAAGACAGCTGAGCACACAGGAGAAAGACTCGGATCTGAGGCAGCAGACGACGAGAGCCCTGATGGATAGAACTTGTCATTAAAAAATGCTAAAAAATCATCACAAATACTTGGTGAAGAAATGACTCCAGCATTAACACGTGAACTAAGAAAACGATTAAGGACATTTACCCGAGGCCTGTGACTGTTTACTGACACTAAGTTTGAGACAAACTGTGTCTTTGCAGTTTTTACAGCTTCTGTCCTTTTTCCATCTCCTTTCGGCACGTCTACAGTCACGTCTAAGGGAGCGCGTCTGTTCATTCAACCACGGCTCTGATAATTGCTTAGTGCGCACAGTCCTAAAAGGGGCAATCGAGTCCAAAATATCAGTGCAGGTAGAATGAAGAGTTGGAGTTCATTATTCCAGAGTCCATAAAGGCAGCAGAAAAAGCGGCGCTGTTAGAGCATTAAGCGCTGCTTTTTGTGTGCTGGGGCGCACGGCTTATCTACCGAGCAGTGCAGCGTTAGAGTGAACAACACAGGAAGATGATCAGAGATGCGCAACTCGGATATTTTCGTGATGCACACATCCAGCCCGCGGGAGAGCACCGAGTCCAGTGTGTGACCTTTTTCTTGCCTCTGAGAGGGACGTGAACGCCACATGGCAAAGACCAGAATCACATGTGTGTTGTTTGAGTGTAGACCGTGTGTGTGTGTGTGTGTGTGTGTCACACAGAGCCTGAAAGTCTTTATGAAGACTTTAGCGACTAACCTATCAGGACCTTTGGTCATGTAAAGTGTTTCTGTGGTTCACAGGACAGCCTCTTAACTGCATCCACACTTGAGGACCTCACCTGTGGGGACAGGTCCTCTGAGCTGAGCAAGATTCTGCTGGTACCTGAGAAGCAGCGACCCGTGATCCAGGCGTATCGCAATTCTGTGTGTAGCGAAGGGGCGGAGCAAAAGTCAGCACGCTTCAAGCAGCTGAGCCTGGAGCTGAGAAAGCAGATCAACACGCAGAGTGTCACCGAGAAGGTAACATGGAGGACATTGTCCATCAGGCCGTTTTTAAACATTGGTATAGTTACAGTTATCATTGAGAAATAATATTGTTAACTATATGCATGTTTTTCATTTCCAAGACCTACTCCACTTACTGTTTTGAGACCTACAGCCCTGGAGTTTAGGGATAGGAATTGAGAAGAATTTACCGCTTCTATTTTCCTCGTCTGACACACGAACTGATATTAGCTGATTGTAGAAGGAGTGCACGAACTGATAAGCGGAATCATTGAAAAGGCAGACTAACAATTCCAAGGAATTGGACTTCTAGGGACCGGTTTTCTACAAGAATTGGCTCTCAACTCTCATCCCTACCCGTGGTAGTCTAATAGTTGGTGCCCAAACACTGAAATTGCAAGAGCCCTATTGTATCTGATCCATTTAGTGTGAAACCCTGTTCTGTCTGCTTCATTCAGTTTTAGGTCTTCAGCACAAAGTGCAGAGGCGTTGTTGTGTCTGCTCCGTGGATTATTATTATTTTATGGAATGAATCAACTTTCTAAAGTCATGACCGTGTGTGCACATGCTTTAGTAACAGAGAAAATGTTCATATTTTATAGGTTTCACATACTGAGACTACAGGATGCTTTTTTGAACTTTTTGAACTATATTTGCTCAGTTTCACATACATCATCCATCTGGACCAAACCTGTCATATGGGTCCATCCCTGAACCCAGTACTATGTTAGCTTTTAACAACAGTCACAGCGCCACATAGTGGTGACAGAAACTGTCATGTTTTATATTTTGAGGTACAGTTTCATGGTGGTTTAGCAGAATCATATAACATTTGGTCAGGAA